TATATATATATATATTCTATTATATTTTAATGAATATAATACATGACAGACAAACAGAAACATATGGGTAGTTCTCTAAATTGGGGTCCCTTTGAGGGTCCTTGTTTATAAGGGTGCCGTACTATATTGGGGACGCAAAACGGGACCCACATTTTGAGAACTACCCATATGAATAGATAGATGGATGGATAGCTGCAAAGATGGTCAGACTAGATGGATGTCTAGTTAGAGGCTGTGTGAGACAGAGGGAGCCACTTACATGTGCTACAGCAGGCTGTGCATGTGTACGTGCATATGTGTCATATCTAGATATGTGTGTATGTATACATTTGTAGATATGCATATTATATGTGTGTGTATGTATATATAAATATTATGCATCTGCACTTATGCCGACAGGGCTTATAGTTCGAACACCAATGTGTACCTGTGTATATGTGTGTATATATGCAGATATGTATTTTCTTCATGTCTTTTTAGATAGTATCTGCGTGCATATGCAGAAATGTATACATGATTGCTTACATACATATATATATATATACACATACATACATACATCCATGCATGCATGTATGCATACATGCATACAGACAGACAGGCTGGCAGGCAGGCAGGCAGGCAGACAGACTTACATACACATACAGAAAATGCCAGAAACAATCGGTTTGAGAGGCGCATTAAAATACCAGACTTTCAGCCCTAAGCCTAAATCCCGCACACTCGAATGCCTAAGCCGCTACGGTGTGGAGTTTAGGGTCTTAATCCCTCAGACCTGAATCTGCGACCCCCAACACTAACTCTATATCAATATATCCTAGAAGCGCTAAAGTCCAATATCGCCCAGGAACTCTCTAATGGAGGTGGGCCACGATCTCTGGGCCAGCACCTTCCTTGCAAGCGAATCTATGTTGTTTTGCTGTCTTTCCCATAGCAAGGAAGGTCCCACATCTCTGATCCTTACCAGTCGCGCCAGAGATGGCGCAGATCATGTTCGGAATTGTGAGAAAAGAACCGGGTCTTCGTAGTGAGGGTAGTGTTCATGTAGCAAGCAGGTAGCCATACTAGCTTGGTACATGTGCTGGTCACTGTAGTCATAGTAGTAGTAGTAGTAGTAGTAGTAGTAGTAGTAGTAGTGGTACCAGAAGCAGGTCAAACCACCTTTCGGTTTGAGGCTAAACAAGCCTTTTGGCGCTGCGACGTATGTCAGTGGGTGTCTTGGGATACATAGGTCTGTTCAGTGCTGACGGTCATCCCAGGTGCCTTCCACTTGATGGAGTCGCTGCTGCAAGGTGTTCTCGTGCACCAAGGAGACGTGCGACTCTCCCGCACCCACTGTCCGGAAACAGCAGCAGCCGGTAGTAGTAGTAGTAGTAGTAGTAGTAGTAGTAGTAGTGGTAGTGGTAGTAGTAGTAGTAGTAGTGGTAGGACGACGGGTCGCAGAAGCAGTAGCATCAGCCGCAGCAGCAGCAGCAGCAGCAGCAGCAGCAGAAGCCGTAGCACTGGCACTGGCACCAGCACTGGCGGCAGTATGGGCAGTGGTGGCACCAGTGCACAGTGTCTTTGTGCTGATCTGCTGGGCTTTATTGACATGTCGGGTATGTTCGCCACTCCGGCGGAATCCAACGTAAAACTGAGCCCAGGGCGACATCCCAGGTGCATACTGTACACAAGCTCAAACCTAGAAGCTCGAAGTAACGGCTGAATCCTCCAGACCTCCCCTCTGCAGGCCACTTCCACAAGGTCAGCTAATACGCCCTGTGGGAAGATGGTTGAAAGGTCCTTGTCAAAGGCAATCCTGGGAAATCCGAGCACTAATCAGAATCATCTTTATGCCGTACTCCGAGGAGGCTCAGCTAAGGCTCAGTTTTTTGGCGCTTGGGCACGTAATTGGGTTCAATCTCTAGGGTGCAACACCTCGACGCTCTGTTTTGACTCTGTTTGCTCAGGATTCAGGGCGCGGAGGTGCAGGAAGATGCTCTTTGCTTCAAGGCGCTTTGGGCCGGAGGGGTTTGTAAGGCTTTATGTTATAAGGCTTTATGTGGTTGTAGGGCTTATAGGGTTCATGATGTTTGGCCCTGCAATTTTAAAGTGGAAGAAGCCTGTATCTTCGACTTCAATGGCCCGAGGCAGGGGAAGGTTCGCAATTCTCCTGAAATGAAACCCCAGACTGCTTTCAATGTATGTTTACAGGCCTGAATAAGTAATGACAGTATTTCTTGGTTCTCCTTATGATGATCATCCGACTATAACATTACATGTGTATCTTATATATATATATATACATA